AGGTCCTCATCAAAACCCTAAAGAAGAGGATTCTCAATCCTGGAAGCTCCCCCAAAGGAATGGGGTCAAGGGTGACGGGTTTCAGGAAAGGAGGGAGGGAGGGGTCAGGACAGGACCCCCTGTCGCCATCGTCCTTGAGTCCTTTCCGATCTGGGATCGCCCCTAGGATGACAAGGTCAGGCATGCAGCCCAGGGTCCCAGCTGCACCTTATATGCAGACTCCATGCAAATTGGGCTCTCCTCCTGCTCATAAAAGGGGGCCCTTGCCCGGCATGTTGGGGAGACACCCAGAACCCAAGCACCTGAGACAGGACCCCAGCGGCTCCACCATGGACTTGGTGCCAAGCTGCCTTTTCCTCCTGATCGTTTCTCAAGGTCGTTCTCAGGAGTGGGGAGCGCTGAGACCTGTGCCTGTGCTTGTTGGTGCTTCCATGTGATTCTCAGTCCACCTTGTGTCTCTGTGTTTGCAGGTGTCCAGTGTGAGGTGCAGCTGGTGGAGTCTGGGTGAGGCCTGGTGCAGCCAGGGGGGTCTCTGAGACTCTCCTGTGCAGCCTCTGGATTCACCTTCAGTAGCTACTGGATGCACTGGGTCCGCCAGGCTCCAGGGAAAGGACTGGAGTGGGTCTCACGCATTAGTAGTAGTGGTAGTACCATATCCTACGCCGCCTCAGTGAAGGGCCGCTTCACCATCTCCAGAGACAACGCCAAGAACACGCTGTATCTGCAAATGAACAGCCTGAGAGCCGAGGACACGGCCGTGTATTACTGTGCGAGAGACACAGTGAGGGGAAGTCAGTGTGAGCCCAGACACAAACCTCCCTGAGGAGACAGCAGGGCTGGGCTGCAGGGAGCGTCCAGGACACCAGGGGGCGCTCAGGACCAGCAAACCCAGGGTCCCAGCTCAGAGGCTGTCTCTGGAGGGTTGTGCAGGCTTCCTTTGGGGTCAATGCTTTCTTCCCTCTTAGTGTCCTTGGGGCAGTTCCTCTTCCTTCTTTGTGTCTTTAATTAGATTCTCTGCAGGAAAAAAAGCAGGAAGTGGCTATGTTTCAGATCTGGTCCACTTCTCATCTGGTTCCTTCCTGTCACCATGTCCCTGATGGTTGCTCTCTGGGTTGACAAGGAAAACATTGTAGGGATAACCGTCCCCACCCAGAGAGTGATGTTCCCCACCCTCCACACAGAGCTGAGTGGGGAACAGGGAGTCCAGGCCCCAAACCTCACCTGAGGGTGATCAGCCTCTTGCTCTGCCCCAGGAGGAGCACTTTGGGGCAGTTAGCCGATTGCCTCTCGCTGACATGGCTGCACATGGAGGTTTAGGGTCGGACCCTATGGGCCCTGCCTCTCTCTCAGCCTAGAAGCTCCCACCTCTCCGTGTGCACCAGATGGAGGCAGGAAGCCCTGCTGGGCCCTGTTCCCTGTGGGTCTCAGAATCCGGTCCCAGGGGACGTGTGCCAACACCTGTCCTGCTTCCCCTGGTGAATCCACGTGTATCCTGAGAACCTGCTGAAGGGAGACATGGTCCCACCCACCTCTGCTGTGCCTCCAGCTCTGCAGGCACCACCTCATCCTCACCCTCTGACCTCTGCCTCCCACACTCAACCCATGGGGCCTGCATAGGACGTCCCATATGGCTGTGCTCTCTCTCTCCTTTTCGCACTGGTAGGTTTTGCCTTAAATGCAGCCCCATGTCATCCCCTCATGCCCATCTTCTGTGCCAGACCCTCCCTGAGATAACAGGGCCATGGCCACTCAGGCAACCTCAAGTCAGCCTCAGCCACCGGGCTGAGCCCACAGGCAGTGCCCACGTGTGATGTCAGGTCCTCGGGGCCCTCCTGTGTCAGGTGGAGACACAGCTGAGCACTGAGCTCAGAGCACCTCTAAAAGCTCACACCTGTGTTGTAGGAACCACCAGGGGCCTGTGAGCTACAGAGCATCGTGGTACACATGTCCATGGCCACTGGGGTCAGAGGGAAGTGAGGGAAGGGCTGGTGCCTGGTCACTTATGATGTGGCCAACATCCTGCTGACCAGAGCCCAAGTGCACAGGGAGATCTGTAAATCCCTAAAGTACAGGTACAGCCCAGCCATCATGGCTCAGTGGTTGAGCGTCAACCTATGAATCAGGAGGTCATGGTTCAATTCCTGGTCAGGGCACATGCCCAGGTTGTCGACAACATCCCCAGTGTGGGGCCTGCAGGAGGCAGCCAATCAATTATTCTCTCTCATCCTTGATGCTTCTATCTTTATCTAA